AACGACTCACTGATTGGGGGCAGCTCTGGCAAATCAACCAAGATGACAGGCCACCAGCCAGAGACCATCTCCACAGCCTGGCGAGAGAACAAGCCCGACAGCTCGAGCCACTCACTCTTAGTCAGTTGACATGGACTCTGCGCCACCTTCCTGACAAGGCATGCGGCCCTGATGCAGTGACGGCTCAACTGCTGCGCACAGCTCCACCATTGGCGGTAAAAGCCCTCTTGACACTCTATCAAGAGATGGAAGAAAGGGTCCAACTTCCCACACAACAGCAGATGCACATGGTGGTCATGCTTCCCAAAAATGAAGCCAAAGAAAGACCCATCACATTGACCTCACTGTTGTACCGGGTATGGTGCAGGCTCCGCAAGCCTCTGTTGGATGACTGGCAACACCACCTACCACCAGCCATGAACCATGACCGCGCCAGACCAGGTGCCACTGTGCTGTACGTGGCTTTGGAGCGGCTTTTGCGGCAAGAGGTCCACAGAGCCAACGGCCGGCACGGAGTGACTTGCCTGATGGACATGTCAACGTTCTATGACACCATCAATCTCCAACGACTCGAGATTGAGGCACTCCGGCTCAGCTACCCTCCGCTCATGCTGGAAATGGCACTCCAGGTCTACCATGGACCCAAAGCCATAGTTGCCGAGCAAGAGATGACTCCCTTCTTCACGGTGACCAACGGAGTGCCGGCTGGCTGCCCCCAGGCACCACTGCTTGCGAAGGCAGTCCTAGCACCAGCCCTTCAACCATGGCAGCAGCAACACCCCACCATCCACCTATCCAGCTGGGTAGATGATGTAGGGTTCGATACAGCCAGACCCACAGCCCACCAAGCAGCCACTGCAGCAGTCGAAGCCTACAGGGACCTACACAAGCGACTTCAGGAACTGGGCCTGCAGGTCAACCCCAAGAAGACTGCCTTTGTGGCCACCGACAAGGCCACTGAGCGCGAGCTAAAAGCCATCCTGCAAGATGATGAACCACAAGTAGCACCGGTCATGCGGGATCTGGGCATTGACCACCAAGCAGCCAGGAAACGACGCATCCCGGTCATGAAGCAGCGCATCAAGAAGGCCACAGCTCGCAAGGTCAAGTTGCGTAGCTTGAAGATTCCAGCCCTCAAAGTCCGCCTGAGACTCCACAGAGGAGGCATCCAGCCGGTGGCACTGTGGGGAGTTGAGAGTCAAGGATTGGCCCCACGCTACCGTGCAGCCCTCCGCCATGGCATGGGCAAACACCTGGGACACCATACGGGAGGCCTGTTGGATGTCACTTATGACATTCATGCCAAGCGCTACATCGATCCCAGTGATCAAGTCTTGATCCATCACATCAAGGCGATTCACCACTTGGTCCAAGCATGGCCACCCGAGCAACTCCCAGCACTGGAACAAGCCTGGCGACAGACTTACCACCAACTCCAGCAAAAGCAGTATCCCTGGTACAGCGTCCGTGGGCCGTTAGCTGCAACCATTGTGTACCTACTCGAATGGGGCTGGCAACCGCAAGAATTGCTACACTGGAGCCGACCAGAAACCCAGCTTCTGTTAGCGCAACAGATCAGCCTCCAAGCTCCATGGTGGCAAATCGAGCTCACCCTCACCAAGGAGGCGCAATGGCAACGCGCAAACAGACTGGCAAGCAGAACAAACTATGGACACCTGCTCACAGGTTTGGACTGGCACACATACCGCCAGGTGAGAAAGAAGCTCAAAGCCCCACAACAACACAATCTGGACACTTGGGTACAAGCAGCCATCCACACCAGGGATGCACACCAGACCAAAACGTGCCCTATATGTGGGATCCCAGCCACACCAAAACACATCCTGTGGCTTTGCAAGTGGCACAAGAACCAGAACCACGATCCCATGCCAGCGGACTGGATGAACCGCATCACCAACCAAGAAGAAGAGCCCCTCTGGGCGCATGGCTGGATCCCGCTGGAGCCACAGGATGCCAGAACGGCAATCCACCCGGTGCAAGGACACGGCTACCAGTCATACCCCTTCAGCAGCACACTGGGTGGGCTTTCACGCTTGATGCGACACCTTCCACATACGACCTGAGAAGTCAGATGTGGGTCTTTGGACTTTGTGCTCATACCATGGCGCTCGGACAACTCAAAAGGCTGGGCACACTCACCGGTGTACCCATCGGCAGCCAAACCAAAACCAGGGCATTGATTGCCGGACTAGTGACACTGGCCAATCAAACCACCGATCCAGTCAAGGTCATTGTGCAGCTGGTCAGTGTCTGGGAAGCCTGGAACCACCCGAAGCACCGAGGCCCATACATGGACCTCCTTGCTGAAGTACCACCCCAAGACTACCACAGAGTCACGGTACTTTACATCAGCAAGAACACAAGGACACCCGATGCCCCAGCCAACGAGCCCCAGCTCCGACGGAGACAACGAGAAGCAGCCCTAGCAGCGTGGGAACGGGCAAAAACCTTCTATGATGCCAAACAAGAAGAATGGCAAGCGACCCTGGACCAAGACCACCAGCTCATCTATGAGCATGCTGTCAACCGCCTGAGCAAGATTTATGCCGACCCCACGCACTACGTGCACCAGAAGGCACCACGGCATCAAGGCAAACACACCAAACAATACAAAAAAGAGCTGGTGAACAGATGCCGAAAGCAGTGGGCTGATAACCATCACCACTGGGAGCCGCACCAGAGAAGTGGCTTTCAATGTCGCTGCTGCGGCATCCGGATGCACCAAAGCCTCACGACTGAGATACTGGAGACAAGGCTGAATGAGGACTGCCCACAAATGCTGATTGATGATGGACCCATTTCAGCCGAAGCACCAGCACCCCTCACCAGGAAGCCAACCAGGGCTCAACACATCAAAAGCCTCCTGGATCAACAACCGGAACACCCAACCCCGGGTCAGCACCAGCTGGCAGAAACCACGGGCTACCTCAAATGCCTTGTGTGTGGCATCAATATCCACAAGCGAGTCAATGAAGCCGCCTTCAACAACTTCATCCAGAGCCCATGTGTCAACCAGGCCTACACTCAGCCTCACTCAGGCCATCCCAGCCATGCACTATGGCGCACTGGAGAAAAGGTGAAGTGTACCCAATGCGGCATGCAGTGGAACTTGGATGGTGAGCTCCGTCTCATTGCCACACAAGCCCTCCACAAACCATGCAAGGGAGCTGGCGCCAAGGGCTCACCGCCCATCAGCGACTTCTTCAAAAAGAAGCCAGAACAGTCCAGTAGCCACAGCTCTGATCACTCTCAGAAGCCGACAGCTCAGGAAGCAGGGTCTGCCTCACGACCGACACCAAGAAGACTCAGCTTCCCAGCGGCACTAGACGAGCAAGAGCAAGCTGAACTTGCCATGAGTATGTCTGCTTTGGCCATGAACCCCAGCCGACCAGCAGACGAAGAGTCAGACACCATAGATGACCAGCCAGGCTATGCTGTGGAGTACTTCTGAGGAGATGGTAGCGACATGCACAAGACCTTCTGAACAAACCTGAAGCCTAGCGCAGAGCCCTGACCGGCCAAAGGCCCTCACCAACTGGCCAAAACGGCCTTGAGCATAAGCAACTCTAGGAAAAAAAATACATACATACATACATTTACATATAAATATAAAGATGACCACAATATAGTCATATACATATATATGCAAAAATTTGCGTATGCGTCCACCATTTTTGGGGTGGGTTGTTGTGACACAAAAAGTTTAAATTCCAGGACACATGCAGAAAAAAACTGTTTGTGGCACATGTTTTTGTTGGTCGACCATTTTTTTGTCGGATGACGAGTTGTTCAGCACTGTGCTCGCAGAGGTAGACAAGATGACAAACGATTTGTTTTGTGATGACGTTACGCAGTTTAGCATCGCGGGTACCAATGTGGTCAGCATATAGTTCCAGCTTGTGACTGGGAACTGATGGTTCACTTAGTACGCAGGTCAGCTTGTTGGAGAACGGCATCATGTTTCACAACGCAACTTTGAATTTACACGATTTTCAACAACATCACTCCCATGCGATGTGCTGTGCTGCTGTTGACGACACCTTAATCTCCAAGTGCAGTTTCTTGTATATTCTTGAAGGTGGAGCTGAGCTTTCCATGAATGAATGTTGTGTGCAGCGGTATTCTGAAATTGAAACGTTTGTTTGAAAACAATAGCCTTGACAACAGTGGGCTGAGATGCATTCTGCCCTTCAGCACTGCTTGGCGCACGTGAGGACCTTAAGTGTTCCAGAGCGACATCGAATCTATATTTGGCTCAATTTTTGACAGGGGTGTGCCATAATATTGTTTCTAAATAAAGAAGCGGTTGTAGACCTTGTTTTTGCCTATATATACTCTTGTGATAGGAATTGACACGATAAAGTCTCTATGCCAGTACATTTTTTGAACTTAGTTTCATGAAACAGTTCCCATCCCAAGCCTGCTTCCAAGTGGTGTCGAAAATTGTTCCAAGCCTCCCATGGCCTTTGCTTCGACCATGGGAGGCTTTCAGCGCAAAAAAATGGGTGTACATCCTCATTGTTTTGGTTTTGCTAAGGTCGGGAACCTTGCCCAATTTGGATAGTTTCATTGAATATGCCAGGACGCCAGAAGGGAACTTCGGCGCGTGGGCACAAACGAATCATTTTGGGAAGTTCTCTTGCATTAGCTTTTGCAGTGGATGAGAGGGCAGTGGTCAGCGATCCCGAGGTTGGAAAGTTTTGCTTTGACTTCAAGAAACATGCGCCTGGAATGGTCTGCAAAGCCACGTTTGCGCACTGCGATTTCCTCATGATGGGCAGCACTGATGTCTTTTTTGGCAGTATGGATTTTGTCGAGAGAAGAGTTGCAATCCTCTTTTTTGTTTTATGTCAGTGAGGGCAGTGAGGGTGGGTAGATTTGTGGTCGCATTTTGAATCCAAGATCAGGCTGCTCTACTCCGATCCTTCTCCCAGCACAGGTTCGCAGACCTTTCAGGGTCGAGCCGGATGGGACGAGCCATGGATCTCCCACAACCAAGTGGTGTGCCCACGAGCCTAGGATAGCCAAGGTGAATTCTTTGATCGGATTTGATCATGTCTTGAAATTGGAATGAGTCCATGTAACAGCGCCGCTTTGTAGGCAGTTTCAAGATTTCTTTTTGCGAGTTGCACGGAGGTGGCGGGATGTTTGCCTCCAACTTCCTATGTCCATTCAGCCAACTGCACTTTCCAAGGATCTTTGGGCCAGGCCAGGCCCCGCGAGCTGTGAAAGGAAAGGATGCCCCGCAGGCGCGGGTCAACAAGGTGTCAATGTCTTTGCCAAATTGCTAGATGAGGAACCAGCCTACTGCTTGACTTTTGTGCGGAGGTGGCTAAAGCCACGCTGGATGAAGCAAAGGTACTGCTCCTAAAGTCAGAGATCATAGCAGTATGGTTTGTGCAAGGGACTGAGACCAATATTTGAGCATCATTCAAAACCTTGATGGTCATATTTAGTAAGGACATACGGGCACTGTGCGGAAGCAAACACCTGAATTGCGCGAGGTTGCATAAACAGTTTCTGGCTGAAGCACTAGCGCAAGTAAAGTGCGTAAGTGTTGCTTTTCCATGGGTTTGCACGTGTTTGCTTCTATGTCCAACTTTTGGGATACTTCGAAACCAATCAGATTTATTGAGACATGTTTGAGAAATTCAGTGTCATGTCCCCTGCAATCCATGTAAGCTGAAATGTGAGTCGCGTATAGTATGCGCCTCTATTATAGAAGAAATTGCTTGTGCCAATCTTCTATTTGAAGGGTATGGAAATTTGCCGCCGGGAGGGTTTCAAATAGAAGAGGGCCAGGTCAAATAGAAGAGGGCAAAGAAGAGGAAGAGAAGGGAAGGGAAAGGAGAAAGGGTGGGGAAAGGGGGAAGGAGGAAGGAGGAAGGCGGAAGGAGGAAGGCAGGGGAAAAGAGGCAGAAGGGAAGGGAGAATCTGAGAAGGGGGAAGGGGGAAGGAGGTGAAGGAAAGGAAGGTAAAGGTAAGGAGGAGGTAGAAGGAAGGAAAGGTGGAAAGGGAATGGGAAGGGGGAAGGAGGTAAAAGAACCGAAGGTAAAGGTAAAGAGAAGGTAGAAGGAAGGAAAGGTGGAAAGGAAAGGGGAAGCAGAAGGCAGAAGAGAAGCTAGGGGGTTTACCTAGCTGCCGGAACAATACTTGAGCAGCCACGTCAAATGACCGCGGGTGTATTTATGTTGCTTTTCTCTTCTTCGCCAGGAAGGGAGAGAGAGCGAGAAAGAGGAAAAAAGAGCGGGCGGGCTCAGGTGTATTTGTGCAAAAGAAACACTTTCTTCTATTTGAAGACCTGTTGGTGAGCACGTTTATCAACCCGTTATCTTGATCTATTTTGCTTCTATTTGTCCTGGAGCCCTGCTACGGCAGCCTTCTATTTGAAAAAATGTTTTGATATCTTCTATGTCTATAACAGTTTCCCGTACTATAAGCAAAGCGCAATTGCATGCGTAAGCACCCCTTACGACTGTTCGCTCCAAAGGAAGGTTTTGAACAACGCTCATTTGAGAAGCCAGAACAAGAAATGAGAGCGAAGAAGTGAAGAGAACTTTCCGGTATTTCACCAAGGTGCTTGGTGTTTGTAGGCTAGTCAATGCTGAGGCTCCAAAGCCCGCTGCATACCGACCTCCACCCAAGGAGGTATGATGCTCACTGCTGCTTCTGGATTCCCACCAAAAATCTAGGAATCAAATGAATAGTGCGAGCGCTTCGAACCCATTGCTATTTGAACCCACAAGAAGCTTCACTCATTTCTTCCGCACTCAGATTCTTCTCCAAACCTTTTGCGATACAATTCAATACCTGTAACACTGTAAGTGGCTTTGAAACTCGAAAGGGCTGTGAAAGAGGCTCTCTGTGCAGGACACGAGATCTACTTGCAGCACAGCAGAGCCTTTGCTGCACTATGAATGGGTCTAGAGTCTAGCAATATGCATCTTCGTTTGTGGCAAATCCTCCTGTGGAACTTTGCAGACACTTGGGTGTTAAAAATCAAAGCGACAGACACCAGCTTTTGAAGAGTCGCTCGGATGGCAGGCCACGGAGCCTGATTCTGCCAAGCAGGTCCCAAAGCAGGAGGCGTAGTTGCTGACCCAGGTATCACACTCATCCGTTGTATACTAGACGTAGTCACTGATAGTTTCTCGCGGGATTTCCTTTAGTCCTCATGTGACTTGCTTGTTCTTCCGTTTCCTTTTGCCTTGCCGGTTCGATAGTTAATCTTCACTGTGACACATTGTTTTGAATAATCTTCCATGTGGCGTGGGTTCTTAGTACTGCATAGAACTCTTGGGTCAAGCGGGTTTGTCGCCTTTCGCCTTGTCATGGCTCCCCAGACTCAAAATTCTTTTTGAGCCTTCATGTGTTTTTTCTTCAATCGTTTTCTTTTTGTGAGTTTCTTTGGTTATTTTTCCCTTGTTCATAAATCGGAGACAAACATTGTCACAACACGGTGCCCTGGCGACTGTCAAGTAGTTCCTCCCTTGTCCGCCAAAGCAGCTAAGCAGCACCTGGCCTGGTTGATACATATTGTTGAGCTATATTGAGTACCACAACTCCAGCTTTGTTCACAAAGTCCGGAGAACTTGTCGGAGCTATGTTTGTGATTCTCTCACCTTTGGCCACAGTTTGGCCATGATTTTTGATCAAACAGCTCTGCGAGGCTCCTGAATCAGGATTCAGCTCGCTGGAGGCAGGGGGGACCTATTTGTTTGTCATTGAGGAATGCTATATATATATATACATACATATATATGCATACATAGCATGTACAGGTTCTTTGTCATTGATTGATTCTCTGTAAGGAAGCTGTGCCGGAGGGAATGTGCCTTGGCTGAACTTTACACCACAATTTATTAACAAGTCTGGTCTGGCAACAATGCCTTGCCAAAGAATCCTAATCCAGATTTCCAACCTTTCACATCGAGACAACTCGCTCTTCAGGCCAGCGATTGGTAGCGCAGGAAAGCCCAGAACTTCAAGTGCTTTGAAGCTTTTCCAGTGATTAAATGCACTGCATTTGTTTTATAGACACAACACAACCAATATTTTTTTTGGGTGCCATCGTGGTTTCCGGCTTCTGAACGGATGAGCTTTTCAAGTTGGATTCTTCTTTTGAAGGCATGGGAATCATTTTAGAAAAGCGCAACCTGGAAAGAAGCCATGCAAAAATGAGGTGAAGCTTTCTGTGATTGTGAAGTGATCCGCGAGCCGTTTACATTTTTGACATTCCCACAACGGCCGCCCGCACATTTAAGCGGAGCATGATGGAGTTCGAGTACAGCAAGACCTTTATCAATTGCAAGGCCTCCACAAGTTGAACGTGTTTGCGACTCTGTGATATGCATAAAAAATGCTAATGTATCCTAACATCACAATGCGCGCAGTGTGCCTGTACAAGGGTACAGCCATGATGTCTATGTCGCAGTGTGAGTCATGAGCACAAACCATCCATTTGCACATGCAGTGCAATGCATTAAACTTTGCTTTAGAACTCTAGAAATCCTCAGAGGGGGGCATTTTGCTGCTTGTAGAGTGACTTTTAGGATCACGCTGCCATTCAGTAGATAGTCTGAGTGTCTCATCCTCAACTCCTGCAACACGAGCCTGCACACGGGGAGATGCTCCACCATGTCCACCATGTAAACCCAACCAAAACCATGCAAGAGCTTGAAGGATACAACACCTTTGAATCACTGAGGGTCACTATTTTTTCACGTATTTGTTCACATTTTTTTTTCCCGAATGCGTAGCGAAGGGTTCTCGTTTAAGTCTTGGGGGTCTGGGGGTAGAGCCTTGTTCGTGACCTGTTGGTTCTAAGTTCGCAACCGTCCGCAACCGTCCGCAACCGTCCGCAACCGTTCGCAGTAGAGCGCTAAGGCGCTGCCATTGGGGGAAGCTTTTGCAAATGACTTTTCATGGATGTGTCACGTGTCAGTTTGCGCCGCTATTCCATTGTGATTTGCATGAAAATGAGATGTCGCGCAAGAAACGTGATGCGTTTCTCTGAACAGGCGCAGCGTTTTGTGAGATCTGCAGATTGCTGCGCAGTTCCATTAGGATTAGCGTTTGGAGAGTCGTGTTTTTGGGGTGTTGGATGTGGCCGTGCCATTGGGATTTGCGTTTCAGGGTGTCGCATCGAAGCTCTGTTTTCGTGACAAGTCTCAGCTGAAATGCCGATTTTGGTGGATGGAAGTGTGCTCAGAACGGGTCGAAATCATTCCAAACGTGTGGTGTGGTGCAAATTTTGTTGAAGCTCACATGAGATGATATTGTCACTTTTCGTGGCAGGCGCAGGACTTTGTGCGGCTTTTGAGGTGTGGAAGCGCGATTCTCGTGGCAGGCGCAGGGAATCGTGAGGTTGCGAGGTGTGACGGAGGTGACATTTCGTGGCAGGCGGAGTACTTTGTGCGCGTTAGACGTGTGGATGCGGAAAGATTCGTGGCAGGCGCAGGGAATCGGGAGGTTGTGAATTGTGGTAGAGATGAATGTCGCTGTCACATTGGGATTGTTTGGAGGGGCTGGAATCGCGAAATTGCTTGGCAGGGCTGCGTGATGTGTGTGCTCCGATGGGTGTTTCCGCTGGACTTTTGGAGGAAGTCTCGTGCGAAACGTTCCTTTTGCGGACTTTGACATGTGAGTTTTTGAGGAAGTCTCGTACGAAACGCTCGTTTTGGGGACTTGACATGTGACTTTTAGAGGAAGTCTCGTACGAATTGCTCATTTTGGAGACTTGACGTGTGACTTTTGGAGGAAGTCTCGTACGAAACGCTCGTTTTTGAGACTTGACGCGTGACTTTTGGAGGAAGCCTCAAGCGCTCGTCTTGCAGCCTTCGCAGCGTGACTTTTGGAGGAAGTCTCGTACGAAGAGTGTCCTACAAGAGTGTCCCACAAGAGTGTCCTACAAGAGTATCCCACAAGAGTTTCCTACAAGAGTGTCCCACAAGAGTGTCCCACAAGAGTGTGCCACAAGAGTGTCCCGTATGAGTATCCCACAAGAGTGTCCCACAAGAGTGTCCCGCAACAGTGTCCCACAAGAGTGTCCTACAAGAGTGTCCCGCAAAAGTGTCCCGTATGAGTGTCCCACAAGAGTGTCCCACAAGAGCGTCCCACAAGTGTGTCCCACAAGAGTGTCCCGTAAGAGTGACCCACAAGAGTGTCCTACAAGAGTGTGCAACAAGAGTGTCTCGTAAGAGTGTCCCACAAGAGTGTCCTACAAGAGTGTCCCACAAGAGTGTCCTACCAGAGTGTCCCATAAGAGTGTCTCACAAGAATGTCCCACAAGAGTGTCCCGCAACTGTGTCCCACAAGAGTGTCTCACAAGAGTTAAGAGTGTCCCACATCCTATAAGAGTGTCCCACAAGGGTGTCCCACAAGAGTGCCCTCCAAGAGTGTCCCACAAGAGTGTCCTACAAGAGTGTCCCACAAGAGTGTCCTACAAGAGTACCCCACAAGAATTTCCTACAAGAGTGTCCTATAAGAGTGTCCCACAAGAGTGTCCCACAAGAGTTTCCTACAAGAGTGTCCCACAAGAGTGTCCCGCAAGAGTGTCCCAAATGAGTTTCCCACAGGAGTGTCCCACAACAGTGTCCCGCAACAGTGTCCCGCAAGAGTGTCCCACAAGAGTGTCCCGTAAGAGTGTCCCACAAGAGTGTCCCACAAGAGTGTCCCGCAAGAGTGTCCCAAATGAGTGTCCCACAGGAGTGTCCCACAAGAGTGTCCCGCAACAGTGTCCCGCAAGAGTGTCT